CCCTCGCCCCTCGCCTCACATGCTGACGTGTGGTACCCCCGCCTCCTCCCCACGCTGCCTCTCTATAACCTGGAATGTAATATCAGGTCGACTCACGAGCCTCGCAAATTCCAATTTGCCCGCCATTTTTCATTGACTTTGAGTTTTTGGGCGGCGACGGGCGGGCGTGCGGGGGGACGGCGGCGACGGCGGCGGCGACATAGGGGCGGGGGAAAGGGAGGCCGCCGGGCCCAGGTATGGGACGATGACGACGGTCGCCTTAGAGGCGGGGCGGGGCGGTTAGGGGTTGTAGTAGGGTGTACTACTACCACCCCCGCCGCCGCCGCCCGCGCAGCGCTGGACTGGCGGAGACGTGCATAAATTCAACATTGCGCGCGGGCGGGCGGGCGGGTGGCGGGAGGTTTGAAAAGGCAAGGGCCTCCTAGTGAAAGGGCGGGTGGAGAGGGGGTTGTGGGGGAGGGGTGGGGGCTGTGGAACCGCCCCGCCCCGCCCCGTCCCGCCCGGCCGCAGCCCTCTTATTGCCGAACACTCAATCGCCCCCGCCCGCACACAGCGCGCCCAACGCTCGCCCAGCCCAGCGCCCTCCTCAATGATTTCGGGACGGTAATTTAATGTTTCCCGGTCGGCTGCTAGAAGGCGGTGTGCGGGGCGGGGGAGTCTACAAGGCGGGGGGAATAGCCCGTTAATTGCACGGGGGGCCGACAGGCAGGTATGCTCCGGGGGCGGGGGGGGTGATATCCCCGCCAGCGCACTGGAATGTGCCGACGACACCGACGCGTCGTGTAAGAAGGAGCAGGGTAGGTAGAAGCACGGGGAAGGCTATGATGAGGAAAAGAAAGCGCCGTCTGTCTGTCTGCCTGCCTGCCTGTTCTAACTGCCTGTGTGCTCGGGGTGTTTCCTTGAAAATCATGAATTTCATCCGACTAACGAATGGCCAGGATTCTCACAAGAACGTATCCTAATTGCTGGCAGGGCGTTAGGTATTTTTGTGTTGACATTTTAATGACCTCAAAGGAAACCCTGGCCGTCCTCTCCTATCACCTAATTTTTTCCCCCTCCTGGGACATGTTTAATTCCTCACTCGAACCAAAGTTACACTAACATCTTCACAGGTCAGATAGTGGACGGAGTTCAATACTTGCAAGTATACCTGCTCAACTTGCTTCAACTCGAAGTTTCACTTCACATTTAAGCGTTCAGCAGTTGCACACTTTGGTTTCTCAGTGTAGTTGCCGGTGTGCTGTGTGTCTACTTACAATTAGACGGCAAGTGTGTGGAGTACATGCCCGGGATCGTTGTGGCAACAAGTCTACCTGGCTCGAGTCTACTGCTGCGAGCAGTCGACTTCACCACACACTTCGGGGTATGCGTGCTCGCAGGCACGCTCTACCTTGTGCGTAGTGAGTCGCTTGTTTAGTGAATGTTCTATGCCCATACTCCACTTCGTCTCCCTTTGTCTCCGTTTTGTCTCCTTTTTCTCCCCCTCTCGCCCGCACCCACACCCCAACCCCAATCATATCTAAAAAGTTGATGCATGCCGGACCTGACCAAAGTGGCGCACGCTCAGCTTTGCCCCGTCGTGTCAATGCAATTTTGCCCCTCCTGTCGCTTCCAACGACAAAAAAAGAAATCCCCCCCCCCTTTTCAAAAAAAGTAATAAATGAAAATAAAAAATAAAATCGAGTGGCGGATACAATTATAGCGGGTCAAGAGGTTCTTTTTGGTATGAAAGTGTGGGACGAACCACTGAGTGGAAAATATATACGGTAAAATCAAGGCCTGATTTTTTGAGGCGGTTTCAGGCAGTTTGAGGAAAACGTTTTCCTGTGATGTGTGTATCTCAGTAGAAATGGTCTTGCCTGAAATTGGAGAATTGCTCTTCTTTCAGACTTTGTTTTTCCTGCGTAATCGTAGTTATGGTATTTCCATACACCTCATTTAGATCCTGACTTGGTTTCGACAATAAGTGCCCTTTCGACATTAGAGACGGCCAATCATTATTTCTGGAGACGCTGCGCAGCCATGCTGTTTCGGCGTTCTTTTTTCCCTCCTCCCATAGTTCATTTTATTTTTCCGACGTCGATCGTTTGCAAGCCATCCACGGACGAGAATGCGGAGCAGAGGAGCCCTGCTCTGCATCCGCTCTCTTCACATGATGCTCTTCCCCGGCAGGGGGACGAACTTTTTGAAATAAAACGATTCTGCCGCGAAACCCCTTCTCCCCTCCCTTCGTGTGCAGTAGGGTCACAGGTGGCGTACGGGCTGACTCCCCTCCCCCCTTCCTCTACCCCCGCATCAGTCAGGGGTCGCACTCGCTCCCCGCTGGCCCTCCTGTGCCCATCTCCGCCCCCTGTACCGGGGGCCGACGGGGGCCAGGCCGGTCCATGCACGGGCAGCAGACGACGACTAAACGCCCTTTTCTTTCCCTTGCTTCCGCTTTGAGGCTTTCCCCGAAATTACACTGCCGCTGCATCCTAGCGAACGAAGGGTCCGTGCGCGCGCGCGCGCGCGCGTGTGTGTTGTAGGGGGACGGGGATGTGTGTATTCTCGGTGGGAGAGTGCGGGGGTCATGGTAGGAAATACGTCCAAGCGGTGAGACAAAAGGCCTACACTGTTGTTTGATAAGGGTCGCCCCTACTCCCGGTCGGCCGCCACACCACGCCACGCCCCGCCACGCCCCGCCGCGCTGCGCCACGGGCACTGGTCCCCAAATCCCAGGGCATTAGGACCGCTAACGGATCTGATCCGGTGCGGGGCAGATCTGGCCACCCCCACGCCCGCGCGTACACAACCAGGGTGGTCCCGAGGCGGCCGCAGGCTGGGCAACCACGCGGGTCTCAGCGTGGTCGGCACACAAGGGGTTCGGTCGCCCTGCTTTACGGATCCGTGAACCGCCAGCCGTCACGCCAGGCGGTCTCCTGCCGGAACGGTCAGCAGGTGATCGGAATGCGGCTCCATCTCTCTGTCTGCGGTTATCCGTTATCGTTTAGCCTGATAATTGTCCCCCCCCCCTCCCCCACCTCCTGGCCGCAAGCGCGGGTGCAGCACTCGCTCGCGGCGGAGTCCCCCACCACCCCAGGCGCCGGCGCCCCGAGCCCCAGGAGGGCCCCCGCTGACCATAAAACGTCGCCGATGTTTACTCCAAAGGGGATATACTTTCCCTTTCCTTAACCGCGAGGCGCACTCCTCCACCTCCTCTTTTATTTTTTCTTATTTTTTTCTTCTTTTACCGTCCGCCCAACTCTCCACCGCTTACGCCCCCCCGCGCGCACTCGAGTTTGTTTTGCTGACCTTGTTGCTGCTGGGAATACAAGACGTTATTACAAAAATCCTTTCCCAAAGAAATTCGAGTCTATTTTTACCATGACGATCCCACCGTGAATAACGTTTTACAGCAAATAATAAGATCAAAAAGAATCGGGGATTTTGAAACGGATTTTGAAACTGTCGAGGTAGCTAAGTCTTTAAATTTTAATATCCTACGTAATTATGTGACCCTGACGCCTTGCTCGGTAGAAATCATGTCAGCCTTGGTTCCGCGAGCCTTGCACAACCCTGATGTGCCTAGCTCTGCTCTGGCGCGGCTCCCCCCTTCCCCCTCCTTCTCTATCTACCGCCCTTCCAACCCCCACCCAATTCTCTCCCTCTAAACATCGTCTCCCCGTCCGAAGATACTCCCACCCCGTTCTCTTCTCTTCTGTCATTAATATTCGTCCATCTTAGTTGCTCACTTTGTAAGCGAAACAGTTTAAAATGTTGATTGCTTTGGTTCGGCGCGGTTCGGTGGTGGGCGGGGGCGGAGGCGGGGCGGAGGCGGGGCCGAGGCGGGCGGTGCCTCTCAAGGGCCGCCGAGAGGGTCGAAGGCGGGAGGCAAAGTAATGCAAAACTAGTCAGGTGGAAAGTGATTACCGTGCCCGTTGGGGTCACCTAACCTGCGGACGCTCGAGATCCCCTCGATCCCGGCCCCGCACGGACCGCAGGTGAGCAGGAGATGCCGGCAGGCGCCTCGAAGCACCTCGGCCGCCCCCGCTTCAGATTCCGATACGCGGGACACGGGGCGGTTCCTGTCGAAGCGTCGAAATATGACGCAAATTGCGTTTGCAGGCGGACAGGACGGTCTGCCTTCTCTCTCTCTCTCTCTCTCTCTCTCTCTCTCTCTCTCTCTCTCTCTCTTTCTGTTCACCAGGGGTGTAGCGTTCGTCCCGCGGGGGTGCGGCCTTGCCCGCCTCAGAGGTCGAGCCACGTAGAGCGCCCGATAGAAAGGAAGTAGAGGCGGCATACACTGCGGGGAAATCCATACTCTATCTACCACTCGCTGACACCTATAAAAATATTTTTTTGCGCGCGCTTGTCGTGTGTCCACATTCTGAAACGCACTAGCAAGCTAAAGCCTAAATCTTGACAACTGCTGTGGTTTTTTTGGCTTTGACTTTTAAACGCTTAAAAGATGAACAACTTTTACTCGATTTTACTTGAAATAAACAACCGTACGTTCAAGCTTTTAACTTATTCGCGACAGTACAAGCCCTCTAATACTTAACACATCATCTTGTTTTCTGAAAAATGATGAATAAATCACAGGCCACGCTATTGTCATAAAATCTGCCGGCGTTACGTCGCGTGGAACTACCTTGCTCCAGCTCAACCCGTTTCCATGCTCCGTCCGCGTCAAGGGAGTAGACTGTGATTGCGGTCTTCTTTGAGTAGACCCCCCCCCCTCACTTCCCCCTCCGACAGTCCTCTAAAAGAAAAGCGTTGCGTTACTCTAATGGGGTTCCATTATTACACGAAATT